AAAAAAAAAAAAAACGCTGATTAAAAGAGGTGAATATATATTATAATTTAGTGGAAAATAGATTATAACCATAGTGTGTTTTAGACTTAACATGGTGACTAAAAAAGGTGAAAAATAGATGGGTAGGACTCTATTTATTCATCCAAGATCATAATAAAATAGATTATAGTTGTGAGGATAATAATTATCCTTTGGAATATATTACTTGTCTACCAAGCTAAGGATTTAGAGATTAGGACTCTAATTCATCCAAGATCATAGAGCCGATCAGATTTGATCGAATAAAAATTATATCTGTTTTTTAGATTTTAACATTGTTATCTCTTTTCCCTTCTGCGATAAAGCATATCCAGATACCAGGACGATTGTCGCGAGATGGCTGACCTCCCGGCGGACATTGAGGACATTCGTTTGGGTCTCCAGACGATGATGCATCGCGATCAAACGAACCGCGAGAGTCGAGCCGGCGGTCGCGGGGATAATTCCTTCGGTAACTATTACTTTTTCTTTGGTTGACTTAGTGTGCAAAGTGCGTATCAAAATACATGGTTTCAATTGGGTAAGCGTACGGAGTACTAGTTCGTTGATTGGTTATTTTATTCAGTTTCTTATTTATTATTTGCTTGGTTATTGAAACTGAGAGGGTTTTTGGTTTTTCGTTGTGTTTTGTGTTTGTCTGTTTGTTTTGTATGTCGAAGGCAATATTGGGCTAATAGCTGACAATGGGCGTGAGCCGACTTCTGTAGCTTTTATGTAAGGAAGACTAAACAGGTCTTGTCCATCTTCAACCAGGATTGCATGCTTGATAGTTCTTAGAAACAGTTTTTATTATATTCTATCCTGTTAAAGAGTTTAATCAGAGGACGACAGTTGACCAGAGTATTATGGGTTTTAATCTACGAAAAAACGATTAATCTATATTTTTTCAACCTTTGCTACCTAAATATAACAAAGGTTTGAGGCATTAATATTTCATATGTAACTTGGTTTAGCATTTACAGCAGGTCAGGCTACAAGACATGCTCGGCGGGTTTATGTTGGTGGGCTCTCCGCAACTGCTAATGAACAGGTAGTATAGTATGTTCCGTATCATTCTAGGACACGTGCTTGAATATTTAACTAGCTAGTAATATCCGAATGTTAAGGGATAAATTTTTTCTTCAAAACTGGATACACCTTTCTTCAGTCATTTCAAATAAAGATTTACCATTATTNTTTTCATTGTTTAATCCCCTCTCATGGCAGTCCTTGGCTACCTTCTTTAGTCATGTTATGTCAGCAATTGGAGGAAATACTGCTGGTCCAGGTTGGTTCACATACATTTGCAATTGCTATTTATTTATTTATTTATTTATTCATTCATTCACTTGAAAGTAGCATTTGTGAATGTATTGAACCTTCTTGTTGCTTTTTGTTCTTTTCCTCATTCAGGAGATGCTGTGGTCAATGTTTATATCAACCACGAGAAGAAGTTTGCTTTTGTGGAGATGCAATCTGTTGAGGAGGCCAGCAACGCGATGGCTTTAGACGGCATTATGTTCGAGGTAAGTGCTAATTTAAAAGACCTTTAATAAATCCATCAGCCGTAATATAATATATAATTTTCCTCTTGCCTACAACATTATATGCTACTATACATTGTCACAACCTTACATATAATTCTTTCCTCCAGGGTGCACCAGTTAAAGTGAGAAGGCCGAGTGATTATAACCCTTCACTGGCAGCAACTCTTGGCCCCAGTATGCCCAATCCCAATCTGAATCTTGCTGCTGTTGGGCTCACACCAAGATCTTCTGGTGGGCTTGAAGGCCCAAACCGCATATTTGTCGGAGGTTTAATGTATTGTTTTACGGAAGCACAGGTTAGAGAGCTGCTGGAGACCTTTGGGCCGCTTAGGGGTTTTGATCTGGTCAAAGATAGAGAAACTGGGAAGTCAAAGGGCTATGCGTTTTGCGTTTACCAGGATATGTCTGTAACGGACATTGCTTGTGCAGCTCTCAATGGTATGAAGATGGGAGACAAGAGTCTTACTGTCAGACGCGCTAACCAGGGTGTTCAACCTAACCCTGAGCAAGTGAGCATGCTACTCCATGCCCAGCAACAGGTGGCTTTGCAGGTAAATGGAGATTTTGATGTTGTGTTATATGTTATATCCTTTATGTTTGGTGCTGCCACCAAACCCCTGAGATTGTCAGATTATGTTTTTGGGTTAATCTTGTCTCATTTTTTTAAGCAACTTTTCATTCATTTTCTCCCGAAGAGACTTGTGAAGCAGTCTACTAACAAATTCCCGTTCGTTTTATTTGCAGAGGCGGAACTCAAGTTGTTGCTGTTTTCTATCCTGAGAATAAGTTCTCTGAAGAAGATTACAGTGGCTAGTACCCAAGCAGTGGTCCAGCATCCAGGCTGTTAGTCCACACAAAGTCTTTAGTTGTTTATTTTTATTTTTTTTCAAGGACATAGTTTTGGTTTGTTGAAAGATTCTGTCTTGACTTTTATGTGCGCTGATGGATTGCTGATGGATTTAATCACTTTGATAAGGCATCATGAATTTGAAAAACCGAATGTTCCTTACTATGAAACAACCCCTGCATTTTGGATTTTGTTTCCGTGTGCAAGAAATTCCGGCACAATCTTGCCCAGCTATCTTGTTGATTTTAATGTTTCAACTATGTGCTGGCAAAAAAAAAAAATATTAATGCATGCGTATATGTTAAAAAGTTTACTGACATTTAGCAAAATGGTCTTGGTAACTAGTTAGTAACTTAGCTGCAACTAGCAAGTTTTGTTTTAGAACCGATGTACATCAGTGCAATTGTGAGCTCGTAAACATTTTTCAATAGCATCGTCATACACGGTTTTTAAATCGCATGATTGTCACCGTAAGTAGTAATGCTTCTATTTGTTGTATATAATTGGCATTGCTATTTGGAGTATAATTAGAAATTTGGAATATATTGTGGAAATTCTTGCAATTTTCATCTATCAAATACGTTGAATTCGAGTTTGAGCCCTGCTTTTTTCCAGTGGAAACCACATTGACCAAAGTTCAAGCTGTTCATATTGTGCAACTTTGATCACCCTTATTGTAACAAGACGGGTTTCAGGTTTTCCGTCCAAAAATTTGCATAATTTCTATTTATTTCTTCGTCCTTTATTTTTTTACAGCCTTTCAATTTTATATATGTGTAGGATTGAATATATGTGCTGATGAGAGAGATTGTGAGAATTGAATATAATATTTTTTGGGTATGACGCTATTATTTTATATCATGTAGTACCGTCATGTATATACTTAAATCCTATTATCTTTATATTAATGTTGTTTTTGAAAGTAAATCGTGATTAAACATTACAACAAACGTAATTGAAAATAGCATTATGCACATTTAAACTAGCATTCTCACGATTTTGGCACTAAGAGCAGGTTTTTATTTGAATGACATCTGATATATGGCACATGGAAACATTATACCTAAAATTCTACAAAATGTGTGAAGTACTTAAAAACATTTTTTCTCAAATTTACAGAATAATTTAATTATTTGTTGCGTGATGAATATATTCATGTGCCTGCTGGGGTTCTACACACGAATTATGTCAATGATCATATCGAGAATAAAAGAATATTCATGTGCCTGATGGGGTTCTACACACGAATTATGTCAATGATCATATCGAGAATAAAAGAGTTCAACTAGTCAACTAGATCTATAGTTTCGTTTGAGATTTCGCGTTGTGGTACTTGTTGGATGTTGTTTTTTATTCCAAAATCATGGTTTAATTCATGTTTCATTCTATTGGATGAATGACATGTGCTCATGATGACGTCACAATTATAAATACATCAATCATGTCCGTGATGACATCACAATTACAAACGTATCAATCGTCGAACAAAATGAAACATAAATTGAAATATGATTTTGATTTTTTTTTTTTTTCGGTTACAAGTCATCCTTGATTGGTCGGAAATATGTGTATTTTATATATTTATTAGCGTATTTTTATATGCTTAATTTTATGTCACTTATATGTTTTTCGACTTATTTATTTATTAGATGGATTTAAGTGCTATGATATTTTTATGTTTTATTTTCAGAATATTGAATTATTTTCATGGGTGTGACACCGAACGAGAATTGAAAAAAAAAAGAGAAAAAAAAAAGTGTGGAGGATGAGACATTTAGACTTTGGCTAGAAACGGAAGGGAACTTGACTTGTTAGCAAAGAGAGGGGTGTCATGAGTTGCATTGATCGATGCATTCGTTATAGAGATTGACAAACTATGGTGGTCACTTGAATTGATACTTGATATGTTAGAGTTCCTAAAATGATTTCATCTTGAGTCCGGATAAATTGATTTGAGTTGTTTGAGCTATGCACTTATGTGAGAATTGTGAGGCCCTGAGTAAAGTTTCACGTACTTGTTTTCTTGTCCATCTACGTGCTTATAGTCCTAAGTTGCTTGGGGACAAGCAACGGTTTAAGTTTGGGGAGATTTGATTGGTCGGAAATATGTGTATTTTATATATTTATTAGCGTATTTTTATATGCTTAATTTTATGTCACTTATATGTTTTTCGACTTATTTATTTATTAGATGGATTTAAGTGCTATGATATTTTTATGTTTTATTTTCAGAATATTGAATTATTTTCATGGGTGTGACACCGAACGAGAATTGAGTGGTTCCAGCGAGTACGGGGGCATCCCGTACTGAACCAGCAGGCCCCGTATTCCTATAGCAGTCATGCAATTCATGTAAGAGGGCTGAGAGGAATAAATATAATTGGGCTGCAAATATTAAAACTAAAGTGGGCCAGGAAGGACTAAGTCAAAAAGGAATTAATTGTGGTGAGAGGACACGCAGCCCAACTTCATGGGAGAATTGGACATTCACGCAGGAGCATATATACAGCTTTGGGGTTTTATTGAAGGGCCCACAAAAGACATTAGGAATTAAGGGCTCATTTACGTAGCCACTAATTAAAAGGGAGTCGGGGGATTTATTTGCGAAGACAAGCAGCCATCAAAAAGAGAAGAAAAAAATCAGAAAAGAAAAAGCGAGCCGCCAGACATCAGAGAAAAGAGAACACACGGACAGAGATATACGCGAGTAACCCGATCAAACGCGGAGGGAGGCCGCACCAGTACACGAGGGAGATAATTAATCTCTCTCTTTTATCTATTATTTCTTTTTATTTACTATGAACGAGTAGTTTTTATTCTAGTTCCGGTGATGTTGAACCTTACGATTTGATGATGTTTGATTAATTTGCGTGGTTGATAATTTCAATATCTTTTTGGAATTGCTTGTGTTATTTTGAATAATTAATCATGATGTGTTAGTCTTGTTTAGATTGATCACCTAGACTAGGCTTTTCATATCTACATCTGAATTAGGCCTGCAATCCGTAATTGTTGTTGTGTTTAATTCATAAGAGGTAACCGGAAGATGGTAACTACCGGGGATAACACGGCCTAATTAAGTGAACGAACGCGGTTGAGTTCACTAATTAGTCTAGTCTATTTTTCTAATTCGTAAAGCGGCTAATTGTATTAAATCTTGAAAACGTTTTTCTGGACTGTACAAGAAGTCAGGTTTAATCGTCGAGCGTCTCGCGGTTAAATTAAAAATAAGGAAAAATTCGGGTAACTGACCGTGTCGTTGCCTAGGGCTAGTAATTTCATGAGATAGCGAGATTTGATACTAAAATTGATTAAACGAGTCAGTCGAGGGTGTAGACGGAATCGTGAACTAGAAAGTTCTCTTAATTTATTTATTTTTATTTTTATTTTATTTGTTTAGATCTTATTTATTTTAGTTAGTTTAGCTATTAAATCACAATCCCCCCTCTTTTATTGCTTTCATAATTTCAATTAATACGAGAAAATTCACGATTTGATTCACACTCCTCGTTGGATCGACCCTTGCTTGCCACTACTACTAGTTAGTAGAGGTTAGTCGAGGAAAATATAAATATTAATTTTGCCGCGTTGCGACGCGCGGCCAAATTTTGGCGCCGTTGCCGGGGAGTGGCGTTATTGAATTGTGATTTTTGAGTACTAATTGATTTATTTTATTTATTTTTTTTAGGATTTTATTTTATCATCTTTTACTCCCCTTTTCCTTCTTTATTATTATTATTTTTATTTGTTGGCAGAATACTGGGAGACCCCGTACTCTGCTGGACAGAATAGTTCAACCCCATACTCGCGGGATTGACTAATTTTTGGGCGATAATTTGCGAGCTTTGAGCAACTTTTCGTGATGGCAGCCTATTATCACGACTTTTATACCCACCAGGCACCTTACCGGTATGAGAGGGAGATACGAGGCCTGTGGATTGGAGATCGAGGCGTAAGAGGACCTAATGGTTGGCGAAGATACGAGCAAGACTACATGTATCCCGAGGAGAACGAGTACGGCTTGAGAGAGCACTCGAACTCTTTCTATGGGTACTCCGAGCCATCCATTGCGGGAGATCCCAGCCCATCGCTCGAGGATATGGTGAAGGCACTAGAGGCTCACACGTTGAGACTTCTGCAAGAACACTCCGAGCCAATTGTTGAGAACGAACCTGGTCCGTCTCTCGAGGATATGATGAAGGAGTTGACGGCTCACACTCTTAACTTTCAGCAAGGTGTTGAGACGAGCCTCAAGAGCCAAGAACTAAGCATAAAGAATTTAGAAGGCCAAATGAGCCAATTGGTGGAACATATGGACCGACTAGCATATCGGATCGAAACGAGTCCAATGAGTTCGAGCATTATCCATTCGTACAGCGAAGACCTCGAGGAACTTGAAGAGTGCACACATGAGCCGGAGAACGAGAAAATCACGAATATCGAGAAGAGTGAGAGCGAAAAAGTGAACCAAGCTGCAGAATATGGGGCTGAGCAGCAGAATACAGGGGTACCCCATACTCGACCTGCTGTAGCAAAAAAGTGTACCGTTCTTCCCGCTCTTGTTCCGGTAGAAGCTGAACCGTGTCCTATGTATTCTAATATGAAGTGGGTACTGAGCAAGGATGCACTGAAGCATGTCTTGGGCCTTGATATACCTTCTCTTGAGACGATCGAGCAAAACGAAAGGTGTGAATGGGATTTTATTGAGGCGGTGACCGTGATCGAGCGTAGGCTGCTACACATTCTTGAGGAATTAGCATCGTGGAGAAAAGATCCGGTGAAGCACCCAACACCGAGGATAGGGGATGCCACCAAACATGGCGTGGTGAGATTGATGCCTCCCTTGAGGCCACCTCCGAAGCCGCCATGGATCCTTTGATGAAAGGGAGTAATAAGTCGGGCCGACGACAATAAAAAGAGGCGCTTGTTGGGAGGCAACCCAATGGTGTGCATGGTTCGATGACTTCTTCCTCTGCATTTACTAAGGTGAACTCGTTTCTTTTACCTCTATTTGTTTTGTGATTATTGGTGACGATGATATATGCAAACTCTAAGTTTGGGGAGGTGGTTTCTTGGTGAGCATTCATGGTTTATTATGTGATTATATTTATGCCCCTTAGAGTTTGAGTTCTTAGATTGATTCGCATGATATTTGTTTGTCTTGTGTGAGCGTGAGATTGCATGTACGTGGAATTTTGCGATGATGACATGAGAGTCGGATTGGATTTATT